ACAGAGACAGGGACAGAGTGGGAGAGAACAAAGGGCACCCCCCCCCCCGAGGAAAAATGTCTCAATCCCTTCTCCATTTCTCCCTCCTTTAAGGATCTTGGGCACATAAGTACATTTACCTGACATGTATCTCAAGCCATTGGCTCAGAATTTAAACCTCAGTGGTCAGTCATTGGGATCTTCCTTAACTACCAGGCCATGAACTGGTCTGCCAAAAATGGTTTCCATGTTAAATTGGTCAACTAATATATTAATTTCCATTTCTTTTATTATGGTTCTTTCAAAAGCCAGAAAACATATTTAAGGTGAACCTGCATATTTTAATTATTTAATGAAGGGGAAAAAAACCTAGCATAACATTTACTTGTGATTTTTTTCTTTCTCCGTGGCCCTCAAGGCTATACTGATGAGAATAAAATTGAGTGTGTGTCTTTCTTTGAAGAGAATTTTATAGGGGAGGAAGGAAGAGATAGGACTGTCTAAGCAATGCTGTGTTTTTAGGCTTCAAAGACTTTAAAATTGTCTCAGATGATCAAATCATTTCAAAAAGTTAGCAAAAGGGTGGTAAGAAAATTCCTCCATTCAGTTCTTCCTATGTACATTTAGGTATACCCATATAAGGGGATTTTGAAAAATCGAGCTCAGTGTGTGTTATCTGCATATACAACATGAATTTTGACAAACCAAAACTTTAAAATGCTCATTGTGTTTATTTAAATGAGATCTTCTGTATTAGATCACACTTCAAAATGTATAATCGCGGAGAATAAACTTGGCTGAACATATGTCAGGGTTGCATTTCTAAGCTGAAACTCCCTTACAGATTGAAATTTCTTTTAACGGAGAGGTGCTATATATATATTTTTTAACCTTTCTAAGTCAAGAGCAAAGATGATAAATAGCAGATACCAACATGGGCAGACATTTGAGTCAGCCAGAGCATTAACTACGACCAATTGTCTGGCTGACTCAGTGCCTCCCTTAGCTTCAGAGAGCTGTCCAGAGCAATGGCACCTTGTGATGGCTTGCCCAGGGAACTTTAAGACCTAAAACCTATTCTGCTACCTTCTTTCCTCTTATGCCAGTGGTAGGGAATCAGGGAGAAGAGGGAGGCAAGCAAATCTGAATAATCTCAGGAACTTTATAAAAGTTCTTTGTGCCAGGGCCAAGCCAGAGTAGAGATGATCAATTTTTTATTCTTTTTTTTTAAGTTCTGCAGAGGCAAGACTAAACATCTTGGCTCATATCTCCACTCCAGTCTCCTGAGAAATGCTATCTGAAGAGTACAGGGGAGTTAAAAATATTCATGGAAAGATGTAGTTATTTTGGTGCAAAAAAAAAAAAAAAAAAAAAAACCATTGAAATCCATTAATTGCTTAGTCATAATATCATAATATACATTTCCATGAACTCCTGAAGACCCCTTGTACAGTTTAATCAGGGGTTAAGGCCCTGTTAAATAAAGCTGAGGCAGAGGAATCAGATGAGAAGTGCTCTGTCTACAAATTTTACCATATCAATAGCTCAAGTGATTTCTTTCAGGCAAGTTCTCACACAAATACTGCACCCCCATTTCAACACTCTTGAGGCACAACATGCTTGAGGAACTTTGGGGTTCAGTGACGTGAGGAAAACTATTCCTACTGACATTTCAGTTATAAATTAAAAATTAAAATTTAATCAACATGGAGTCAAAATAAGTAGTGTTAGTGACACACCTGCATCCAGGAAGAAGGGGAGTGGTCAGTAGAATAAAAAATACACAACTAAATATACATTCATTTCCTAAAATCTTGAAAATATCCACTAGTTTCCTTCAAATAAAAAGTCTGTCAACAATCCATTCTCTAATTAAATCTATTTTTCCTAAAGTTTTTGAAAACATGTAAAACAAAAATATTATTTTTGTTTCAGTGATAGCACTTTTAGGTATTATTTTATACTACAAATTAATGTTCTAGCCATTTTGTGTTTAAAAAATTTCATGGAAAGATTGTGTTTTTTTGGGGAAAAAAAAAAAAAAAAAAAAAAAAAAAACCATTGAAATCCATTAATTGCTTAGTCATAATATCATAATATACATTTCCATGAACTCCTGAAGACCCCTTGTACAGTTTAATCAGGGGTTAAGGCCCTGTTAAATAAAGCTGAGGCAGAGGAATCAGATGAGAAGTGCTCTGTCTACAAATTTTACCATATCAATAGCTCAAGTGATTTCTTTCAGGCAAGTTCTCACACAAATACTGCACCCCCATTTCAACACTCTTGAGGCACAACATGCTTGAGGAACTTTGGGGTTCAGTGACGTGAGGAAAACTATTCCTACTGACATTTCAGTTATAAATTAAAAATTAAAATTTAATCAACATGGAGTCAAAATAAGTAGTGTTAGTGACACACCTGCATCCAGGAAGAAGGGGAGTGGTCAGTAGAATAAAAAATACACAACTAAATATACATTCATTTCCTAAAATCTTGAAAATATCCACTAGTTTCCTTCAAATAAAAAGTCTGTCAACAATCCATTCTCTAATTAAATCTATTTTTCCTAAAGTTTTTGAAAACATGTAAAACAAAAATATTATTTTTGTTTCAGTGATAGCACTTTTAGGTATTATTTTATACTACAAATTAATGTTCTAGCCATTTTGTATATTAAAATATTTTTTGGTGGCTTGGCCTAAATACCATGGAGATTTTTACCTCCATAGGAAAATATGTTCTGAGTTCAAAATACGCTACTTACCAACAAGTTTCTGAACCTTTTCATAATGCCAAACTTGTACAAACTGTACTAACCATTTCTTCTGGTGCAGCAGTTCCTGCAGATCCTGCACCAAGAATAGAAACGGGAACGTGAAAAGATGTGGAGGCAGCACTGGTAGAAGTCACGGATGTAGTAGAGGGGATGGCAGTCGCGCTGCTGGCTGTTCCGACCACTGTTGCAGATGGGGACGGCAGCAGTGGTGATGGGACCACAGTGGGCCCTGGAGGAGCCGAAGGATCCAAATGAGCAGAATGTTCTTTTCCTTGAACACCAGGACCATGCTCTTCCTTTTTATTATTTGGGAAGTCCATCCCTGTAAATCACAAATTAATTCCTTTAAAATTCTTCTAAGTTAAGATTACTATTATCCTCTAAACAGTAAAGAACACATAATGGCTAAAATTTGGTCCTAACCAAAATGTACACATTTATTATATATTGGACACAATGGTCATTGAGTATGGTTGCCAGAATTAACTGGTTAATGAATAAGCACTAAGGACTTCAGACCACTTCCTTCAACATGTGAAAGCTAATGAATGATAAAGATAAAAATAAATCATGTACTCAGCTGGGATCTCAGTTATGACCATCACACCTAATAAATAGTATAATCACGCTGGGCCTAAGGATTTATTCCTTTCGCATTATTTCACACAACTATTCTGAAAAAATGGCTGGTATTTAGAGCCTTAGTCCAATTTTCTGGTATCAGCATAACCTATAATTTCTACCTATAGTTCTTATCCTAACAACAACAATGTATTGTTTTTAAATTGCCAGAATGTAAATGTGCTCATGAGAGAGGGGGAAAGGGGGGAAGAAGGAGGGGGTGGAGAGAGAGAGAGAGAAAATATCCCTCAGTGGGGCATGACCATACTGCAATCCTTTGGATTATGGAATAAATTAATTCTTCTGGTCAGGATTTTGCACATGCATGCACATATGCCGGGCATATTTTTCGAGTCACCAGGGTCGGCCATGTGGGTTCCAGCTCCCTTAAACACTGAGCTATGGACCTGGTCCTGCCCCCAGTGCATTTTTAGTTTTCGCTTTTCAGCAGACAATAGTAAATTATGAGTCAAATTAAAATCTTCACTTTCACCATTGCAAAGGAAACAGGTTCTTGCAGGTAGATTACATAAATCAATAATTAAAAGCACAGCTGCACAGTTAACTGATTGTGGTGACACCATACCTTGCCCCCACAAACTGAACTTTGGCCCAGCCTGGTGGTGTAGTCAATGGAGTGCTGGAGGACACTTGGCTAGTTCTGCATTTGGATCCCTAGGTCAGCCTGAAACACACCGGGTACGTGTGTGTGCATGTCCAAGATCCTGACAAGCTGGAAGGCTGGGGAAAGCAGGCTGTGGCAAGACGAGATCCTATAGAGGATGCCCCCGTCTCTTTCACTCTAGTATGTATGTACAGGCTCTCTATCATGAATAAAATAAATTCAAAATAACAAAACAAAAAAGCTAAACCTTAACTTTGACTAAGAAGTGAATGATGTCATGGTCTAGAAGGTAGGACAAAGAGTTTCTTCCATTTTAGAATTTTTCCCCCTCAATATTAGAATTTGGTTAGCTTCCATTTAATACTCCAGTGTATTTATGTGGTATAAAATGAGGGGTGAGGGTTTGGAAAGTCAGGCAATGAGATGTTGCAGGTTATCTGAACATAAGGCTTTATATAGGTACTATACTAAGTGGCTTTCTATGTTGGCCTCTTTCCATCCAGAAATCTGGACTACTACATAAGCCCTTCCCTTAGACTGGTAGAGTAACAGTTACTTATTAACAATGATAACAGTGCCTATATCCTTTGAAATCTGCTGATGAGAGGGATTAATTCACTATAAAATACTGCTTCTAACTTGAAAATAAAACATACACACATGTACACAAAGAGTTTTAACACGTTTTTGACAGAGATTCTGACTATCTCTCTCTTTTTTTAGGTTTTTTTTTTTTTTTTTAAGTTTTTGCTTTAGGGTATGTCCATTCACTGGAGAGAGAGAGAGAGCGAGCGAGCATGTGAGAGAGATATTACTCCTCCAGGGAGGATAGCTGTGCCACAACCCCTGACTCAACCTCCTTGCCACCTGCTGGCCTCTGAGTGTCTCCATGTGTATGGCAGACATTATTAGATGTAGAACTAGTACAAAGGTAAGGTTTGGCAGGAGATACCCTGGAAAAGAAATAGGCGACTAACCCTCACTAATGTGTCCTGATTTATACAGATCCTGTTTGTCACATAACTGTTAGGTTTAATAATTACTCTCGCTTTAACCAGGATAAATCTGTTTCAACTGTGAAGCATTTCTTAACTGTGTCTCAAATTGCTTTTAAAATTGGAAGGTATCCTAAGGCCATTTTCATTGTCATGTTCTGCTTCCTTCATAAAAACGCCTGACAATTGCTAAGATTTAAGAAATAGCACAACACAGGATGCTCTGCAGATCACAGACAAGCAGAGCATAGAGTCAAATAAAAAAATGAAGTATCTGTTTTGCTTTAATAAGATAAAAATCTTGAATCATTAAAAACAATCATCTTATTTATTTACAATAATTAAAAAATATTTTAAAAAAATAGCTATTAAAATGTCATAAAACATAGGCCAGCAAGTGGTGTGGAGGATAAGGTGGATTTAAAGCTGGATATGCTACCATGAAACTAAGATACCAGTATATGAATGAAACATATCCACTGCAGAATATTAGTACTGTAGACCATACCAGTCACAAAGATCTCCCCAAATCCTTTTCTAACGATTCATTGACATCCTTCAATGAAATACTAACCTGTGTCATTTCTGTTTTGAAATATAGTCATGGCTTCTAGATTTAAAGCACACACACCCCTCATGAAAGCTTTTTTCATGGAATCTTCAAAGTGCTCTTTTTCATGATGCATTCTTTGAATCTCAGCTTTTGCATTTTCCAAAGCCCCAGACAGCTAAAACATAGAGGATTTTCAAAAGGAAAAAAAAAGATTTAAGGCACAAGGAAGAAAATTGTCACAAAATAGACTTATGCTATGAGGCCATTCTTACATGAAATACTAAAACCAGTTTGCAACATACTTTTTCTGCTATGTTCCTCAATTTATTTTAATAATTTTGCCAGAGGGCATGAGTGCTTGCCAGAGAGACAAAGAGAGGGAGAGGGAGAGGGAGGATATATTTCCCAATAGAAGGTGGTGAAACTGCAATCCTATTTCTTCCATTTCTCTCTACTGTGGAGATTATTTCCTCCATTTCTCTCTACTGTGGAGATTTTGGGCTTGCATAATGCACAGGCACCTGGCATGTTTTTTAAGTTCCTAGGGCCAGGATTTGAACCATAATTGGCCATATGGGATCCGGCCCTCTTAACCACTAAGCCAAGGGCCAGACTATCTCAATTGATTTATTAAAATTTTTTAATTTATGTTTAACTTATGTTGACATCAGTATGGTACCTAGGCATCTGACAGCTAGGATGACTAGAAGCATTCTCATTTCCATTCCAGTTAGCACTCATAATCTTTTAACAAAAGTAACAATAATAGTAACAACATAGTCAATAATATGGCACATACTCTAAAACAGCACAGACATTGTTTTAAACACTACATATTAGGGCTCAGTCTCTCAACAATCCTACTACTATGTAAATTGCTATTTAGAACTTGAGAAAATTGATACTAATTTTCAGTTACTATTTCTACATCAGCAGGCCTCAACTTTAGCATAAAAATCCTCTGAGAGGGAACCAGCAGTTAAGTGTAATGGCTATGTCGCTGGACCGCAGTTTGCGTCCCGGACCCGGTGGCTTAAAACTCACACCGGATTCATGTGCGTGCGTGCCCAAGATTCAGTGAGGAGAATGGAGGAGAAGGGATTGCGGCGTGACCATCCCCCCTAGGGGGGTGATTTCTCGCTTTCTGTCTGTCTGGCAAGCGCACGCGCCCTATAGCAAAAACCTCTCAAAAAAAAAATTTTTTTTATAGGTGCTCATGAGAGAGAGAGAGAGAGAGAAAGAGAGAGGGAGGGAGGGAGAGATAACGTGAGAGGAAAAGTAAGAAATCACCCCCAGGGGGATGGCCACACCTCACTCAAGCTCTTCTCTTCCATTCTCTTCCTGGGATCTTGGGCACATGCGCACATGCACTAGCGTGAGTTTCAAGCTGCAGAGTCTGGGACTCTAACCATGGTTGACCGTATGGGAGTCCAGTGATATAACCATTATACCATCTGCTGGTTCCCAGGATTGTTTTTTTCTTTAGAGAGATTTTTGCTATAGGGTGTATGCGCTCGCCAGAGAGACAGATAGAGACAGAATGAGAGAGAGCAGGAAATCATCCCCCGGGGGGATGGCCACGCCGTAATCCCTTCTCCATTCTCCTCTCAGGATTTTGGGCACGTATACATGCATGCACATGTGCCTGGCATGAGTTTGAAGCTTCCAGGTCTGGGACTTGAACTGTGGTTGACTACACGGGAGTCAAGTGACATAACTGTTATGCCATCTGCTGGTCCCAGGTCCCCAGAATTTTTAAAAAGTAAATGTTATCTATGAAGTTTAAAAGTGCAGTAACATTAGGTACAATTAAGTTTCTCATATACTAAACCTAAAGGGAATGAATTTTTTTTGCAAGTTATTTTAAACTGCAGAAAATTATTTATATTACAAACTTATTTTTAGTATTAAGAATTCATTGCTGTAATGATAAAATTTTTCCTTTATTTAACTTTATTTATTTATTTTAATTTGACCAGAGAGGGACAGAGAAGGAGGGAGGGAGGGATGGAGGGAGGGGGAGGGGGAGAGGGAGAGAGAGGGAGAGCGATAGAGAGAGAGAGAGTGAGAAAGAGAGAAAGCTGATAGGTCCAGGACTTGAATCATGGTTGGCCATGTGGGAATCCAGTGCCCTCAGCCACCACGCCACCTGCTGTCCCCCCCCCCCCCCCTGTTCCCCCCCCCCCCCTTTTGAGAGAGATTTTTGCTAAGGGCACATTCACTTGCTGGAGAGACAGAGAAACAGAAAGTGAGAAATCATCCCCTAGGGGATTGGCGACACTGCAATCCCTTATCCTTTCTCCTCTTGTGGTTTTGAGCATACATGCACACGCGTCTGGTCTGAGTTTTATGCACCAGGTCTAGGATTTGAACCACAGTTGACTCCATGGGAGTCCAGCGATGTAACCATTATGCCATCTGCTGGTCTCCAATTTTTTCCTTTTAAAATATGATTTAAAGAGGCCTACTGTATGCTTCAGAATGGTTTTTATTTCCTTTTGGGTCACAAATGCCCCATGGAAATAACATTAATTTGATTTTTTAAAGTCAATGGGAAAAATTATAGTTTATATGAATTAACACAAGCACACATTTTTTTTTTTTTTGTCTTTATTCTTGGCTACATAAAGACTAAAAGAAATAGCAAAAGTTGTAAACTACTGATGAGTGTACCCATCTTTTTTTACTGTATTAAAAGAGTGAAAATCAAAAAAGCTTACCATAGCAACTTTGGTTTCATAATCATTGGAAATCTGGACACAAACTTCTTCAGCCCTGGCTTGACAAGCCCGTTCCAACACATCTTTCCACTGCCTCTGTACTACTGAACGCCAGCCTTTCCAGACTTTCTTCAGCAATGCTCTTTGGAAGTACTGGTCAGCTAGTTTACCTTCAAAAACCTATGTGAAAGTAATATACAATCTCAAAAGAACACAGTGGACTGGTAAATAAATTGGTAGTCATAATTACAAATATAATATGGTAGTTAAGAGTTCAAACATTCATCACTTAATCCTGTATAATCACATTGTTCTCATCTTGCACACATGAGAACTACTTCATCAAAAGAATTTCAATTCATTGACAAAATAAAAACAGTATAGGTTCCTACGTGGACTGGTTTGAGAGAGAGGTTAAGTAACTTGCCTAGGTCCATAAGTAGAAAGTGTAAGGCCAGGCTCCAGAGCCTGGGCTCTTACTCATTACATCATTACTTTATGAAAAACTAATCAAGTTAGCGGGAAAACAAACAAAATGTAATATATATATATACATACACACACACACACTAAAAAAAATTAAATATATATATATTTTTATCCTCAGTACTAAAGGGGTCTCTAAATTCTGTCTTCTTGTAAGATATATATACACTTTCATATTTTTTTTTTTGCTATAGGGCGAGTACACTCACCCAAGTGAGACAGAGTGAGGAAAGGGAGAAGTCACTCCTAGGAAGATGGCCATGCAGTCCCTTCTCCTTTGTTCTCCTCTTGATATTTTGGGCACACATGCACACACACACCTGGAGGGATTTTTCAAGCTTCTGGGTCCAGGGTTCAAATCAAGGTTGGCCATGTGGGAGTCTAGCATCTTAACTACCATGCCACCTGTTGGCTCCCTTTCCACTTCTTTTTAATTGCCAAAGGGTGTACGTACTTGCCAGAGATAGACAGGGAAAGGTAGAGCAACCCCCAATAGGGTGTGGTCACGCCACAATCCCCTCTCCTCCATTTTCCCATTCTCTCAGTATTTTGTGCCCAGCATGTTTTTTAAGCCTCTGGGGTTGGGATTTAAACTGCAGCTAGCCACATGGGATCTGGCTCCCTTAACCAATAAGCTACAAGACTGGCCTCCAACTTTTCCATTTTTGAGGCAATAACTTATTATCCTCTCTCAGTTCATTATTTACTTAGATATACTGATTTGGCTCTCAATTAAAATAAAAAATGTTCAATCTTAAATTATATACAGATTAAGGATAATTTTTTAAAAAGCTATACAGGTAATGACTTTCTTTGATTCTTACTCTAAGGCAAGTCTATATGACAAACACTTGTATTATTTTGTAATGCATAAATACAGAAATGCCTCTTTATAAAGAGGCTGTATTCAGGCATTTCAGAAGTAGAAATAATATACGAAGTATATGACATGTTTAAGATGATAAATTCTACCTCCACATAACCACATCTTAGGTCAAAATGTATCATAACTTCCCAGATGATCCCATATTAGAGGTACCTAGCAAGGCATGTGTAATTTAGATACAACCCTTAGAAACCTACAATGAAGCGGTACATTACTTATCATAATATATATTATAGATCAGTGAAGCAGTAAATGACTTGTCATAATATATATTATAGATCAATAGAACTATAGTTTTTTTCCAAACTATATCAAAATCAAATTTCTTTGCAATAAGAGCAACAATACGTCATACATTCATTTTGACTTATTAGAAAACAAATCTTTCTTTGATTTTCACAAGAGTTCTTATAAGCAACCCTCGTTTGAGTTCAGAAGTTTAAGATCTGTCCTTTTCTGTTTTACACTTACATCCTGTCTGGATTTGACATGGCCAATTCGCCAGTGGAAGAATGTTCTCATCAGTTCTATCCTTTCCTTTTGCTTGCCTATGGCATGAGACAAGCTAGAAATCACCTGTAAACAGCAATAAACCCAATTATTGTGATATTACAATGAAAGAAATTGGTAAAGTGACTTTCTCATCTATCAAAAAATGCTACTGAGAATATCTATGGATCATTACTATATTAATCTAGTTAACTTCAGAATTATTTTTAGTAAGACCAAAATCTTTCCCACATCAATACACTCAATGAATAAGGGCTGGCAACTGGTGTGATGGTTAAAGGCACTGGATTCCTACGTGAGTGACTGCTGTATGAGTCTCGGATTTGGCGGCTGGCCTTCTCACTTTCCCTTTCTTTCTATCTCTCTGTTTGGTCAAATTAAAAAGCAGTAATAATGATTGGAATTAAATAAATGATTCTTTGACAAAGATAAGTGAATAAAGGGGGGGAAAAAAGGAAAGAAACCTCTATTATATGTATAGCTTGATAATCGCCAAATAAAAAGTTTACATATATAAATAAATTGATATAATTACTGTTTAGTTCAGGAATTATTATACATTTATAACTTTTGCTACATACACAGGAAGTCTTCATTCACTAGACCAGAGGGTAGGAGCAAAGATTTAAATACCTTTCTGGTCCCTATCGTAACTTGAATATACAAGTTTCTTGATAACTGTTGATTCAATCCATTTATTATTTATTTAAACATTTGCTATTGGGCTTGTGCGCTCACTGAAGGGAGGGACGGGGGGTGGTAAGAGAGAAAGAATGTGAGAAAGCACCCCTGGAGTGGGATAACCATGCAGAAACCCCTTCTCTATTCTCCTCTTAGGTTTGTCGACACGCACACACGGGGGCTTGGCGCGTTTTTCAGGACACGGCGTCTAGAACTCAAACCGTGTAGTCAGCCATGTGGGATCCAGCTGTCTTAATCACCACACCACTGGCTAGCCTGGGGTTTCAAACAATTTATAAAAGCAAGTAATAATTATATTGTGATATGCTTCTTCAGTGATTATTCTTGTCCTTGAAACAATAAAATTAAAACTTAAATTATAAAAATATACTCTTATGAAGAGTATATATATCCCAAAATGGCCACATTTAAAAGATGAAGCAAGTAGGTGGTATGGTGGTTAAGGTATTGTACTTCCACAGGGCCGACTGGGGGCTGAGTCCCAGATTGGGTGGTCTGAAAATCATGCCAGGTACATGTGCATGCATACCCAAAATCCCAAGAGAAGAAAGGAGGAGACGGGACTGTGGCATGGCCATCCCCTGGGGGATGATTTCTCATTTTCTCTGCTGCCTCTCTGGTGAGTGCAGGCACCCTGTGGCAACAACAGCAACAAAAATAATGAAAGATATTTGGGCCAGCTGGTGGCATGATGGTTAAGGCAGCTATATGGCACTTGGTCAGTCTCAGACCCAGCAGCTTGAAAAACACGAGGAGCATGTGTGTATGTGCCCAAATCCTGAAAAAGAGTAAGAAATGGAGAAGATAATTTGGCATGACTGTATCGCATGGGGGAGTGCTTTCTCACTTTCCCTTTCTTATTTCTCTCAAGTGAGTGTACTTGCTCTCTGGCAAATAAATAAGTAAATAAACACAATGCTTAAGATGTCCTTTATAAGGATGGTTAAACATGTGCATAATGCTGGTTCTTTTTATTTATTTATTTCCATTTGTTATTGTTATTTTTTTTTCTTTATTTGATATGAGAGAGAGAGAGAGAGAGAAAGGGAAAGTGAGAAAGCAAGCCACCAGGTCCAGGACTTGAACCATGGTTGGCCATGTGGGAATCCAGTGCCCTTATCCACCACACCACCTGCTGGCCCCAGTGCTGGTTCTTAGATGGTGTCTGAGGGACAGATAGGAAGAAAACGCTACTGTACCTACAGTACAGTAAGATGCATTCTTAAAACATAAAGAATACCAAAGTCAATGGCAAAGATAAAATGACATTATATTGGCATATATTATATTTAAAAGGAAGAATAAATTTCATGCTGTGCATTTATTTTTCTGTTTCTTTCTTTTTTTTTTTTTTAAGAGAGGTTTTTTTTTTTTTTTTAATGCTATAGGGCATGTGCACTTGCCAGAAAGAAAGAGAGAGACAGAGACAGAAAGCAAAAAATCACCCCCCCACCTTGGGGAATGCCACATTGCAATCCCTTCTCCTTCATTCTCTTCTCAGGATCTTGGGCAGGCATGCACAAGCACCTGGTGTGAGTTTAAGCCACAGGGTCCGGGACTTGAACCGCGGTCGACTACATGGGAGTCCAGCGACATTAGCCATTATGCCAACTGCTGGTCCCATCTATCTGTTTTTGAAGTAATTTTCTCTTTGTATCTTACATAAGTGAAATAATCATTCTGGGAATATACTATCTAGCAAGACATTTGCTAAATCTCAGTTACAAAGGATTTTAAAAGGAGACCTCATCTTTTCTTCCAATAGAGATTTCATAGGCTTTATGTAGCTCCTTCAGCTCGTTGATCTGGCTACACAGTTGTTTTATATGTGCTGCATGTTTTTCTTTCTCTTTCTTCATTTCCATTCGGTGCCAGTCAATAAAATTAAGTTTCCATTTACTTAGTTCAGATATGATATTTGTCTGAAAAATAAATAGACCGACAATTAATTACTTTGCTCTTTAATACCACTTTTTTATTTTTGGGAGAGGCTTTTTGTTATAGGGTGCGTGCACTCGCCAGACAGACAGAGACAGAGAGACAGAAAGCGAGAAATCAACCCCCAGGGGGGATGGCCACAATCCCTTCTCCTCCATTCTCCCCTTGGGATCTTGGGCACGCATGCACACGCGCCCGGCGTGAGTTTAAGCCACCGGGTCCGGGACTCAAACCATGGTCAACTACGTGGGAGTCCAGCAACATAGCCATTACGCTAACTGCTGGTCCCTTTAATACCACTTTTTAAAATTATACTGAAATTGGGCTAGCAGGTGGCGGGGTGGTTAAGGGCACTGGACTCCCACATGGCTGACCATGGTTCAAGTTCCAGATCCGGCAGCTTGTTTTCTCACTCCTCATCCCTCCCCGACTCTGTCCCTCTTTGGTCAAACTAAAAAAAATAATAAATAAAGTAAAAAAAACCACTATACTGAAATTAAGACACATCTTTAAAAATCAGAATGAACAAACAGTGAACATAAGGGCTATTAAAAAAATTGGAATTCACTAACAAAGATATATGTAAGTTCAACAGTCACAGCTCTTTGTAGTTTACATTCATCACACTAAGAAAATAGACTTTTTCCTATTTTAAATGACTATGTATGAAAACTCATCATAAAAATAAAATTCAGGCCTCATTCACTAATTCTGTTTATTGAAGAACTTACACGTCTATATTAAAATGGATCAGGAAAATCAACATTTCTCTACTCATTCCTCCAGTTTTTAGTAATATTATTCTACTCTATCCCTACCCTTCCTTCCTATCTATCTATCCACTCATGCTAGGAGAAGGAGAGGGGAGGAAAATGGAAAGAGGGAATGCGGCACTGCAGAGTCCTTGTTCTGCATCCACCTCCTGCCTCTCAGCCATCAGGACCATAGACATACTTGTAGGTGCCCCGTGTGCACAAAGTGGCCTCAGGACACAAATCTGGGGTCCTGCCACATAGCCTCAGCATCACAGAGCACTGTGCTACCACTCTGCTACCATAGCTGGCCCTATTCTACTCTCTGCTTCTATGAAGTCTATCTTCTTTAGTTTCCATGTATGGTATTTCCAAGGGGGAGGACAGAAGAAACTCTGCTAAAAGACTCTTTCAGATTTTTCCCACAGTGAGAGGGAAAGTAAGAAATCACCCCCAGGGGGTTGACTACACCTCTCCTCCTTCTTCTCCTTGGATTTTGGGAGCTCATGCACAGATGTCCAGTGTGATTTTTTCAAGCCACCAGGTCCAGGACTTGAACAGTGATCAGCCACGTGGAGTCCACGTGGCTCCTGAAAGATTATTTATAGGGATCAGCAATTAGTGTAATGGCTATGTCACTGAACTCCCATGTAGCTGACTGTGGTTCAAGTCCCAGACCTGGTGGCTTAAACTCACACCGGGTGCATGCGCATGCGTGCCCAAGATCTCGAGAGGAGAATGAAGGAGAAGGGATTGCGGTGTGGCCATCCCCCCTGGGGGGGTGACTCTATCTCTCTGTCTCTGTTTTTCTGGCGAGCACACATGCCCTATAGCAAAAACCTCTCAAAAAAAAAAATGATTATTTATAGAATTTAAAGTATGAAATAACAGAGAAATACAAAGGTTGCAGAATTCATATGCCATAATTTCTTCATGTATATGAATACTCAACTTAGTTTTCTCAAATTACTATATATTTCAGGATAATGGTCACTTTCTCCATTAAAAAAATAGGGGACCAGCAGTTAACATAATGGCTATGTCGCTGGACTCCCATGTAGTCAACTGCAGTTCGCGTCCCGGACCCGGTGGCTTAAACTCAGGCTGGGCGCATGTGCGTGCGTGCCCAAGATCCCGAGAGGAGAATGATGGAGAAGGGACTGTGGCGTGGCCATCCCCCTGGGGGGTGATTTCTCACTTTCTGTCTCTCTGTGTCTCTCTGTTTGGTGAACGCACACGCCCTATAGCAAAAACCTCTTCAAAAAAAAAAAACAGTAAAAAACATACCCTTTTTGTAATACTTTGTTTTACTTAGAGATCACTCATATCACCAAAAGCCTTTTTTTTTTTTTTTTTTGCTATAGGGCATGTGTGCTTGCCAGAGAGAGACAGACAGTCAGATAAGAGGGAAACTGAGAAATTACCCTTCAGGAGGGATCCACACTGCAAGCCCTTCTCCTCCATTATCCTCTCAAGATTTTGGGCACATACACACACACACACACACACACACACACACACCCAGCATAGTTTTCAAGCCTCTGGGTCAGGCACTTGAACTGTAGAGATGGCCATGTGGGATCCAGAGCCTTAACTGCCATGTCACCTGCTGGCCCTAAAAGCCAATTTTTATAGATTTGTCAGTTATACCTTGTTGTTATTCTTAGAATGGCTATAAAATGAATGTACATTGCTAAAAGTGGATTTTTCATCTCACATAAAAGGGGACATTTTGATAGTAATAACTATCATAGTTATAACTATGATAAGGTAAATGTTTGATCTGTTTCAGTCACACACGAAGGCTGAGCCTTCTAAGATATCTGAGGAATTTGATGGAATATGTAAAGCTGATCAAGCAACTATTGAAAGCTTGCAAATAAAGTAGTTTTGGAACCAGTGGTGTGATAATCTTGACCCCCGTCTAGGACCCACTGAGTATGGTTCGGCAGTTTCACATGATCCCTAGGTGGTTGAGAAGCACAGATTTAAGGCACTGGACTGACTTTCTTAGGAAACTAAAGACTGTTTTTAAGAAATAGGGTCCATGGGGCTAGTAGGTGATATAATAGTTACATGGCTGGACTCTCAAGTAGCCGACTGTGGTTCGAGTCCTGGATCTGGCGGCTTAAAAAACTCATGTCAGGCATGTGTGCATGTGTGCCTAAAATCCCAAAAGAATGGAGAAGAGATTGCAGCATGGCCATCACACTCTGGGGGGAAGGGGGTGATTTCTCGCTTTCTGTCTCTCTAGCGAGCACGTGCACCCTATAGCAAAAATCTCTATTAGAAAAAAAAAAAATGGAGGCCAGCAGATGTCTTGAAATTCACGTGGCCACATGTGCATATATGCCCAAGATCTCAGGAGGAGAATGGAGGCAAAGGGATTGCTGTGTGGCCATCCTCCTAGAGGATGATTTCTCACTTTTCCTCTTATTGTCTCTTTCTCTCTCTCTCCAGTGAGTATACACGCCCTATGGCAAAACCTCCAAAAATAAATAAATAAATAAAAAGAAATAAAAGAAAAGAATAAATAATAGAATCAAGAGTAAAGCTATAGCACTGCATATTAAACAACTGTAATTGAACAGCTACTATACCTTAAGGCCTGAACTCCAAAGATCAAGTACATTTTCCATCTTCTGAAGGTTTTCATCAGAAACAAGGAAATCACTCACAACCATTTCATGGGCATCTACATGACTAGAATTAGAGCCTGGAGAGGAAGAGTCACGTAAAAGATGTGAACTGAAAAAATCCATGACTGGGTGAGGCTTCCTTGGTGATAATACTGGTGATGAGCCTAGAATAAAAGAAAAGTTGTAGCAGTCATGCAAAATTGAAAATTACTCCAATTGGTAGGGGGTTATATCAGAAGGACAGAAGAAGCCTGCTACCTATGCGGGGCTCAGAAATGATCTTTCAGGTGTATCTTAGTCTGGCTATTTTGAATTTCAGTATCATCACTGATTTGGAACTGAGTGGTGTGAGATGCTTCCTATATTCTCTCCACCCCCAACAAATGACCTCCATCCCAAATAAGAAAGCTTCACATAGCCACACCATCATTTCGACATTAACCACATGCTTTCTATATTCCTGTAAAAAACATGTTAGAATGACTAGCTCTGGTAACATATGCTACTGTAAGAAATAGGTTTTATCTCCATTTCACTGATAAGAAAACTGACATTCAGAGAAGGTTAAGTAATTGATAAAGACCAGATTGGTTGTACATAATATAGGTCATCATGTTTAACACTGGGATGGGTCTTAACAGTACTAAAATTCAACAATATTAATAAAACAAGGGTCAGTTTCACAGTGGTAAAATGCAATGCTCTGAAAGCTGACCTATAAGGGAAGGTTCTTGGTGTGAGGATGGAGACTCCTCTGAGCATGCCAGACATACGTCGGCCAATGATCGTGGCTGGTTCAGGCTGGGGTTGAATCAGTGTCAAGATCATATTGAAGTGCTATCTCTGTCCCTCAGTCATGGAAATAAATACATTTTTGGAAAAAAAAAAAAGACTAGTAATTTAATTTATTAGATAATCTGTTGCAAGGCACCCTGTTAGCCTTCAAGGCACAGGTGAGAAATTAATATACTTATATGTAGGTACACACATATATGTAGCTTTTATCTCATTGTCCATATACTGGCAGGTGGGGGAGACGTGAAAGAGAACTGGAGAACTAGTATCTAGCTCTGACAAGTACAAAACAGAAACGCTAACACTATATCACATATTTATGTTGCAATTACAGACTATCCACTATAATTTCTCATTTATCCCCCATTTTGTATGAGGGTCCTAATAAACATGGCTGAAGGGCTTTCTTCTCTTTCTTACTGGATAAATCATAGACAAATCTCCAGTGAGGGCACACATCCTATAGCAAAAATCTCTCTTTTTAAAAAAAAAAGCAAATATTTCAATAATTCTTTGCAAATGGGAAAATCATTCTCTTAATTATGTTTGACATAAAATAAGGTTTGGGCTAGTCACACTACAAATACTACCTTCAGGTTGTGAGGCACGTAAAGAACAAGGTGGACTGCTAAAGTATATCAAAGTCCACGAAAACCTGCTTTAATCGGATTTTACCCACTAAACGTACATATGTGCCAAAAAGTTTGCCACTAAGACTTTTACTTAAAAGAAAGGAAGCAAAGAAATGAAGACATTCCTTACATGGTGGCTTAAATGGTTTCCACACTAAGTAACACTGAATCACACAGTAAGAAAAGTATTATTACATTTTCATTATTTTAATTTTTCTATGTCAAGGGAAAAGTCTCAGTCTTTTCAGAAAGTGAGAAATCATCCCTCGTCTCCCACCAGGGGCGATGGCCACACTGCAATCTCTTTTCTTCCATTCTCCTCTCAGGATTTTGGGCACGCACTCATATGAACCCAGTGTGAGTTTCAAGCCTCTGGGTCTGGGCCTCAAACTGTAGTTGGCCATGTGGGAGTCCAACAATGTAACCATTATGCCATCCACTGGTCCCTAACTTAGCAGTTTTAAGAAAAGATGCCACATATTATAGTGCGTTAACCTGTGTTAAATGTACTATTTTAGAATCCTATGAAATTATTTTACATATTGTTGTATAAAATAAACAGCAACAATAACATTTTAAAATCCTGTCAGTTAGTAACATATTGAAATTATTCCTCTTACTTCAGATAAGATCCATCAAATCACAAACTGTTGTATATAAAACAAACTAAGGAAGTCATACCATCTGTCTTTGAATAACTTGAAATGTTTATATCACATCCTTTTCCAATTTCCAACCCAGCATTATTTCCTGCCAAAAAAGAAAAACTCTTTAATTAAACTGAACAACTCTTAAGTAAAATGCCAAATAACACATACCTAATTTAAGAAGATAGCAGTACATAAGTAAGATTTTAGAATAATTAATATATAACATGTTGTGAATATAGAAACACTAAGACAAGAGAAAAAACAGGCCAGCAGGTGGCATGGTGGTTAAGGTGCTGGACTCCCACATGGTCAACTGCCGTTTGAGTCCCAGACCTGGTGATTTGCTTTCTCACTTTCCCTTTCTCTTGTTTTCTGTCCATCTCTGGTGAAATTAAATAATAATAACAACAATAACAACAATAATAATAAATGAATAAAGGTAAATAAATAATTCTTTCTAAAAAAAGAAGAAAAAATATGATACTGTTAATAGAAGACTTACTGTATTGATGAGAAAGCTCAAGCTCACCCACCAAATATGGGTGAAAGATATATCAGGATACTAATGCATTCAATTTGCACTAAAAGAACAAGTGGGCAAAAGGCGTCACAATTTAGAAAAAGATTTGCTGTCTTATGACACTGGGTATCTCCAGGGCCTTTTGCTTTTCACTGTGTTTAAGCTAAAGTGCACTGGTTCCTTCAATACAAGAACTTCCTTGATTCCACTTCAGGAACCTTTAGTCAGTAGAAGGGAAAAAAGGAAACCAGGAAAAATCTCATATTAATAGTTGAGTTAGAGTTGGATCCCACAGAGCCAATAGCTGTTCAAATTGTAGCACTGCAGCCTTGAAAACCATGCCAGGCATGTGTGTATAAGCCCCAAATCCAGACATGAAGAAGAGATGGAGGAGGAGGAATTGTGGTGTGACCATATCCCATTGTGGAGTGCTTTCTCCCTCTGTCACTTTCTTCAGCGAGCACATGTGTATTCTGGCAACTAAAAAAAGAGAATAACTCTGTTAGAGGCTTATATATACTCTGCCAACTTTGACACACCCTACTTACACCAAGCAATGGTATTACCAAGAAAGAAAAGAATGTGTGATAAATTTATATAATCCATTCTAACAAAGTTTACTTACGAATTAAGAAATCTAAAGAATATCTAAATTTACTATATGTTGTAGGTTTATTCTTTTTAGGGAACACAGAAAACAAATAAATAAATACAGGTGGAGCACTCATAATCTGAAAATCCAAAATCTCAAAATCTTCTAAAACCTGGAACTGAGTGCTAACATGATGATGCAAGTGGAAAATGCCACACCTGACCTCACTATACACAAACTTGGTTTCATGCACAAAATTATTGTTCTTTTAAAGAATTATTTTATTTAACTTTATTTATTTTAATTTGACCAGAAAGGGACAGAGAAAGAGTGAGGGTGAGAGAGCTAGATAGAGAGAGAAGGAAAGTAAGCCGTCAGGTCTGGGAGTTGAACCGCAGCCAGCCATGTGGTAGTCCAGTGCTTAACACCACCTGCAAACCCCCATGCACTAAATTATTAAAAATACTGTCTAACATTACCATCATACTATGTGTATAAGGTGTATATGAAACATGACTGAATTTTGTATTTAGTTGTAGGCCCCATGCCCCAGATAACTATCTCATTATGTACAGGCAAGTATTCCAAAATTTAAAAAAACCCGAAATTCAAAACATTTCTGGTCCCAAGCATATTGGATGAGGGATACTCAATCTATAATATTCTATGGGAAAGAAGAGCACTGGTATTAAATCCCAGAAGGCTACTGTGAAATGTTGGAGACGTGGGGCAAGGAAAGGACCTCTGTGTATGTCACTGGGAACAACAGTACAACAGTACTGTTGACACAGAAAGAAAACAGGCTTATAATTCCCTTATGAGTAGAAGGGTATGGGATTACAATGCTGATTTGTTACTTAAGTTTATAAGATACTATACAGCACTTTGAGTCTACACAGTAGGAAGTGCATGTTGAGGCACTTGGTGCAATCAAAACAAGATCAAGATCACTGATGCAGAATGAATGAATCCAAAGTTCGTATTTCTTGAAAGTGAATAAAATTTGGATAGAAAATTTATGTTAAAATAAATATATTTTTGGGACCAGCAGTTAGCGCAATGGCTATGTTGCTGGACTCCCATGTAGTTGACCGCAGTTCAAGTCCCGGACCTGGTGGCTTAAAACTCATGCCAGGCGTGTGTGAGTGCATACCCAAGATCCCGAGAGGAGAATAGAGGAGAGGGGATTGCGGCGTGGCCATCCCCCCTGGTGGGGGTGGTGATTTCTTGCTTTCTGCCTCTCTGTTTCTATCTGTCTGGCGAGTGCACGCACCCTATAGCAAAAACCTCTCAAATAGATAAATAAATAAATATGTATTTTTTAAGGTTTTGGGTCCATGGTCCAAGTAAGCTGTGCCACGGGCCTCCATGGAGAGGGATCCTTGTAGTTATGCAGATAGTGTAGTAACTGTTATCAGGAGTGTTTCAGGAAGGCTTTCTGTGTCCTCTGAAGAACATATAAGTGACCTGTTTTGAGATCTTGCACTTTACTGAATAAGAAGGTTTATCCTCCTTTCCCCACCTTTCACCCATCTACCAACACACACTCTGGTTTGTGTTGTATTCAGCCTTTCAACACTGTTGCTGACACAGTCCACAGTGGGTTCACCTTTGTGGTGATGATCCATATAGCCCTCCAGGCCCATATAAAGACCTCTGACAAAGCACTGGCATGTGGTGCATATAGTAACTTAAGTGACTCTGAAGGCTACATGTGGACCACCTTTAATTTGGGAGTTGGATATTCAGTTTTCGTGATGACCCTGCAAAAGTGATTGGACCAAGTACTGAGATGCAATATATTCTACTAAGAGACAGGCAGTTGCTACAGTGTTGCTTTAACAAGAGCCAAATGAAATAAAAATTCAGCTGTCATGTAAGAGTATTATGGTTTGGACAATGTTTTATTCTGCAAAGGTTCATGATTTGGGATATGGTCTTAGTAGGTGGTCTCCTAAAAGTTCCTGTGTTGGGACATGGTTATAGTTTTTATTTCTTTTAAAGAGTTATTATATTTGGGACCAGCAGTTAGCATAATGGCTATGTCACTGGACTCCCACGTAGTCGACTGTGGTTTGAGTCCTGGACCCGGTGGCTTAAACTCATGCTGGGCGCGTGTGTGTGTGTGCCCAAGATCCTGAGAGGAGAATGGAGGAGAACGGATTGCAGCATGGCCATCCCCCCTGGGAGGGGTGATTTCTCACTTTCTATCTCTCTGTCTCTCTCTGTCTGTCTGGCGAGTGCACGCGCCCTATAGCAAAAACGTCTCCAAAAAAAAAAAAACTTAAAAAAAAAAGAGTTATTATATTAAATTTTATTTCTTCTTATTATTTAACTTGACCAGAGAGATATAGGGACAGTGAGAAAGCAAGTCACCAGGTTCAGGACCAGAACCATGGTCAGTCGTGTGGGAGTTCAGCGACCCCAACCACCACGCCTCCTGCTGGCCCCTAGACGGTTATAGTTTTAAAGATGTTAAGCAAAAACATAATGCCTTCATGGTGTCCCCTGGTGGGGCCTCTGGATGTGATAGAGTCATTAGGGCAGGGCCCCCATGACTGAATTCTTGTGCGTATATAAAGAGATGAAATGAGGTAGGAGAGGACACATGGATATAGACCAGTTTGTTCTGCTCAATGTTCTGCCTTCTGCCCTTCTGCCCTTGCACTTTGCAGCAACCAGAATCATGAGTCAATAAACCTCTATTTAAATAACCCAGGTCCAGGTATTTCTATTAGCAAGGAAGTCACTGACTAAGACAAAAAGCCTGGGATAACATATTAACATGTAAAAAGTGGGGCCAGCAGTTGGTGTAATGGCTATGTCGCTGGACTCTCATGTAGTAGATCATGGTTCGAGTCCTGAACCTGGTGGTTAAACTCACACTGGGCATGTGTGTGTGTGTGTGCCTAAGATCCTGAGAGGAGAATGGAGAAGAAGGGATTGCGGCGTGGCCATCCCCCCTAGAAGGTGATGTCTCGCTTTCTGTCTGCCTCTCTCTTTCTGGTGAGCGTACACGCCCTATGGCAAAAACTTTTCTAAAAAAAAAAATGTAAAAAGTTCCCCAGATGATACTGTTGCACACCAGTGACTGAGAAGATTCACTGATCTGGAAAGACATTTCACAATCAAAAGTGAGTATCATTAATAAGTTCAACAGTAGCTTAAATTAAGAGGTATCTTAAAATATATAAATAACCTTGATTATGAAGATTATCACTTTTAGTAGGAACTCTAACATCTGGCACCACTTCTCTCTTGGGATGAGATGACTGTGAAGCACTGGATTCAATATTTGGAGTCACTATAGCGTAACGAAGCAATTCTTCATACTCTTCCTATGAGAAATCAATAATCAATGGTGTATTATAGCAGTTATAGTGTTATTATATAAAAAATGAATGGGTTTTTGTTGTTTTAAATTTTGCCAGAAGATGCATGCGCTCGTAGGGGGGTAAGGGAGGGAGGTGGGGAGAGAGAGAGAACCCCTTATGGGGCGTGATCATTCCATAATCCCTTTTCTTTCATCTCTCCCTCTTTTTGGGATTTTGGGCACCCATGCACACACCCCGGTGTTTTCCTCAAGCCGCAGGTCTAAGACTCCAATTGTAAGGTGGGCTAATGCAGGATCCAGCCACCTTAAACACCACCACAGGCTGACCCTTTTTTTTTTTTTGATGTTTCTGAGAAATTTAATTACCATAATAGAATCACATGCTTAACACAGTAGTTTTATCACTTATCCCAAGCTTATGTCCTTTGAGTGACTATGGGACTTTTACATTTATGATTAAAAGTTTAAGAAGTTATAGATTCTATTGGTGACTCAACTATGAATCAAACACTTTTATTTTTGAGGGAGATTTTTGCCATAGGGCCCGTGTGCACTCGACAGAGAGACAGAGACACGGAGACAGAGACACAGAAAGTGAGAAATCATCCCCACGGTGGGAGCGCATGCACCCTATAGCAAAAACCTCTCAAAAAAAAAAAAAAAAAGAAAAATAAGAGGATTTTACATAATGGTTATCACTGAGGCAGAGGTTCTTACCAGTAAAAAATTTAGAATATTATAACACAGCATTTAAGTTTCATGTTGACAAATTATAATTCTTTAAATATATTTAAATACTCTTAAAATTTTAAACTGTACTTCCTGAACCATATCAGTTTTCCAGCTATAAAGCAAAAGAAGGGCAAGCCTTGTGGCCTAGTGGTTAAGGAAGCCAGACCACATAAAGCCAACTGCACTTCAAATCCCAGTCCTGACAGCTTGAAAAACATATCAGGTACATGTGTGTGTATATGCCCCAAATTATGACAGGATGAAGGGGAGGAAAATGGATTACAGTGCGAACATGCCCTACCTGGAATGCTTTCTCCCTCTCCCTCTCTCTCTGTCACACTGGTGAATGCAAAGCCTCTGGTAACTTTTAAAAAAAGAGCAAAAAAAACCCAAAAAACCTCAAGTAGTTTGATAAATTTAGGCCATACACAAGATATTTACTGCAGTCTATAAACCTGAATGCATCAGGGACCAGACAGTAGCATGTAAAACATGGTATTCTGACAATTCAAATCCAGAGACCTTTCTGAGTATGCCAAGTACATGTGTGCCCATAATCTAGGGCTAAAAAACGCTGGGGTTGGATCATGGCATCAAGACCTTGTTGGAAGTGACGACTTTCTTGTTCAAGGAAGAAATAAATGAAAAGCAAAACCAAACAAAAACAAAACCCCTCAAACTCTGAATGTATGGTGGTTCTAAATAATAACTAAAATTTCAAGTGCATTAACTTCCTAACATAGAGACTGCTAACAGCCCAGCAGTATTGTTTTCCCTTTATTCTTTAAGTTATCAAGTACCAAGGCTGACCTGGGAGAATGGCCACTCAGCCACATTTCCTAGCCTCTCTACAGCTAGGCGTGGCTAAGAGATCTGGTCTATGGGATTTGAATGGAATGTTTTGTACTTCAAGTGAAGTACTTAAAAACCAAGATACTTGCTTCCTATTCCACTCTTCCTATGGGCAGAGGTGGCAGGAGCCAGTGTCTGACACTGAAAACATAGTTAATATTTTGGGCATGGCATAGCAAAGAGAGACTGGGTCCTCAGATGATTTCAAAACTACCAATCAGCTTAGACTTAAGCCATTCTTTATTTTATTCCTGTAAAGCGGCCAAAACAATATCCTATTCTACTTCCCAAACAGCCATAGTAAATTTTGATTTTGGCTAAGAATATGTAAAAGTGTGGTTTATAATGCTTGTTATAAACTAAATGCTTGTGTCACTCCAAAATTCATATGCTGAAGTTCTAACACCCAGTGTGGCTGTCTTTGGAGACAGAGCTTCTAAGTTAATTAAGGTTAAATAAGTTCACAGGCTGAGATTTCAATCTGATAGGATTAATTTCCTTATGAGAAGAAACACCAGAGAACGTACTCTCTTTTCCTCCATGACCACACACTGCACTGAGGAAAAGTCATGTGAAGACATTGTGAGAGGGCAGCTGGCTGTAAACCAAGAAGAGAACCCTCACCAGAAAATAACCCTGTTAGACTTTGATTTGGGAGCACCAGCATCGAAAACTGTTAGAAAACAAATTGCTATTATTTAAGTGTCTGAGTCACTAGTATTTTTGCTATGACAGTCTGAGCAGACTAATATGATGGCTATTTTATATGCTGAGGTCAATAAACTTTTTTTCTCGCTCTTTTTGGTAGCAATCACAACTAGATTTAGCCAAATTAGCTCTGCTCTAAGTTAGCTTCTTACCACCTCCAGCCTGTTGGAAGGGAGGGGAAAGTAGAAGTCAGTGGCTTTAATTTGTAACTTCCCTAGTCTGACTTCTGCTCTGGATCAGAAATGTAAACAAGAAAATGAGGATACACTGACTTTATTGAAACAAATATTAGAATTAAAAAAAAAAAAGTGAACAAGAAAATCCAAACATATATTTTAGAGTTCCTACAACAATCATTGTACCTTAAGGAGGAGCTAACTAGAGATATATCCATAGTATTCAATGATCACATATTTTCTAAATTAATTTAAGAAAAAAATTAAAAACTAGTTATTTAAATGACTTTAAACATTATTTATTTTGTTCCTTCTTCTTCTTCTTTTTTTTTTTTTTTAAAGTTTGCTATTGGACATATATGCTTACCAGAGAGAGGAGAGAAAGTGAGAAAGCAAGTGAGATCTGGTACTCAAACTTCAGTCAGCTATGAGGGAATCTAGCATCTGAAAACAACACACCACCTGCTGGCCCCCTGAAATGACTTTCTAAAGTTTCATATATGTAGTTACAGGCCAAATGAGTTATTTTTTTAGTGGATCAAAATAAACTATAATGCCTTTCTTAATTTTTAAAGATAATCTGTCTAACGATAAACAAGAATAATACTAGGATAACAACCAAAATTTATAATTCCCACCCATCTCCAATAGCTGGATTGGTATGACCCTAAAACACAACTCAATCCATACTTTAACCATTTGAGTCAGGGCAACGTGGCTGACAGTCTGAAGCTGCACTTAGAGGAAGCTCTCAGTATGTAAACACCATGGATGCTGCCAATTCTTCAGCATTTACCACCTTCTTGTTTATGAAGCATTCTCATAACTAAGACAGTAGTAACAAATCCCTTAGGAGGAATATTGATTTATGAGGGGCTTTTGTATTAACTGTTTAGATTTACATATTTACCACATATGTAAAAGTGTATATTTTATTTTAAGTTCATATTTAGTATTTATATTTTAAGATCATTTTTGGTATTTATATTTATTGGTATTTACATTTTAAATGTTTTTTTAAAAGAATTATTTTATTTTATTTTATTTATTTATTTTAATTTGACGAGAGAGAGAGAGCGAGAGAGCAAGTAAGCCACCAGGTTTGGGACTCGAACTGCAGTCTGCCATGTGGGAGTCCAGCACCCATAACCACCACATCACCTGCTGGCCCCTATTTTAAAATGTTTCTAAAAGCAGATAGTACTAAAAATGATCATACTATTATCTAGTGTATCTATATAGAATATGGGCAGGCTTTCAGTTTTAGTCCAAAAATGAGTAGGGTTGTAAGTTAAGGTTACTAATAAATAGTCTCCCTGTTGGACTGACATTGTAAGCAGTGAGAAAGGAAATAAGACAAATAAGGCATTTAAAATTATTCAGACCTTAAGAGAAATGTAGTTGTAAGACTTCAACCATGCATGCTGACCATTTGGGAGTCAAAAGATTTTGATTCCTGCATTTTGTGCTGTGGCATGAAAGACTGTAGTCAAGGAAACAGCCTTGAAGCAATCCATAGACAATAAAACTTATGTGTTAAGTAATGTGAATCAAATTACTGGTTCCCTGAGAAGCAATTTCTAACTTTTCTCTCTACAGTCTTTCCTTTATTCCCTGTCCTTATAAAAGAATACCTAAAATTCTGCCATTTTGGAGAACAGGCTTCTGAAGTCTTGCTCCCAGGCAGCTATCCACAAGCTTAGTCATGAATAAAACCTTTTTTTTTTTTTTCACTTGCTTGACAAGCTTGATTCAGCCTTCTTTATTTCAGCTTGACAGCAGGTAATCTATTACACAAAATGATTTCTGGCAGGTCTAGAGGGTTATTCTTCCTACCTTTCTTAAAATCTACTCTAGAGGGAACCAGCAGTTAGCGTAATGGCTATGTTGCTGGACTCCCACGTATTCGACCGTGGTTCGCATCCCGGACCCGGTGGCTTAGAACTCATGCCGGGCGCATGTGCATGCGTGCCCAAGATCCCAAGAGGCGAATGGAGGAGAAGGGATTGCGGCGTGACCGTCCCCTCTGGGAGGGGGATTTCTCAATTTCTGTCTCTATGTCTCTCTCTGTCTGTCTGGTGAGCACATGTGCCCTATAGTGAAAACCTCTCAAAAAAAAAAAAATCTACTCTAGAGATTTATTCTTTTTGATTTAAACCTTTGTCTCTTGACAAAAATGATCATTTAAACCCTAAAAAGTATTTATATTTTAGCATATATTAGTTCTTTCTTGAAGGAAGTTTGGATACAGCTGAGACAAAGGGTGCAGGAAAGAACTGTCGCCTAGGACAACAGTACTACATGGGAAAGATATGATGAAAATGAAAGGCCAATGTGAAATATCTATGTCACAGAGACTACTTTTATCCTAGTAAATATTCATATATTTTTTTCAACCCCTTCCCAGTCTCTAAATCCATAATTTCAATCAAAAGAACATATCTGCTTTATAAAATATTTCCTAAAGCTTTCCTTGCACAGTGTCAATAACAATTTAACACAATGCTCAGTTTTCCTCCTTAGGTGATATAATTACAAAACCTAGGACATACCATGCCAGTATTCGCTCATTTAAAATCAACTCTAAAAATCGGAACCACTATTTTTATGATAAAGCATTTAGAAATGAAAGAACTTAAAACATTTCATGTAAACACCACATCTGTAGTCAGTTTATCTACATTATCTGTCACTGTCCAGGTCCTGGGCAGCAGATTGTGCTGGATGTTATGGCAACAGGGACTGGAACTTCAGTGAGTAGAACACAAGGGAGTCTTGGACTCTAGAATCGCGGATGGTTTGATATTGTATTAATCTGTATTAAAAGTGAAAGTGACAGGACCAGTAGATGATGTAATGGTTACATCACTGGCCTCCCATGTAGTCGACTGAGTTAGAGTCCCAGACCTGTTGGCTTAAACCTCACACCAGACATATGTATGTGCGCATGCCCAAAATCCTGAGAGGAAAATGGAGGAGAAGGAATTGCACTGTGGCCATCCCCACAGAGGGTGATTTCTCACTTTCTCTCTCTCTCTCTGTGGCGAGTACATGCACCCTATAGCAATAATCTCCCTTAAATAAGAAAAAAAAGTGAAAGTGGCATTCAATGAGATTTAGCTAAAATGAGAAAATTTCAAGAAAAAAAGTTCCTTAAAATCTTCAGCTTCTAGGGACCAGCAATTAGTGTAATGGCTATTTTGCTAAACTCCCATGTAACCGACTGCGGTTTGAGTCACAGACCCAGCAGCTTAAACTCACGCCGGGTGCATGTACGTGCGTGCCCAAGATCCCGAGAGGAGAATGGAGGAGAAGGGATTGTGGCATGGCCATCCCTACTGGGGGGTGATTTCTCGCTTTCTGTCTCTCTCTGTCTGTCTGGTGAGTGCACGCGCCCGATAGCAAACACCTCTTAAAAAAAAAAAGAAAAAAAAATATTCCTAGCTTTCCTTTCACATTATCACTTGTTTAAAAATAAGTCACGACAAATTTAGACATTTCTTCTTACCTGAAGATCTGAAGAGACAGAACTCCCTCGATTAGAATCATTTTGCAGAACTGGAAGTGAGTATTTCTCTTCATCTGATGACATTCTCCACAAAAACTATAAAACAGTAGAATCTAAGTTAGTCTCTTGTAGCAAATGATCTTCTTCACAAGGTATGTTTAAAATCATTCATTCAGGATACTGAGTATTTATAGACAAAAATCACATGACAAGAAAAATATAGTTGTAGACTTAATCCCAACATAATGAGTTTATAATACAGTAAAGGAAAAAAAAAATACAGTCCAGGAGATAAGACAAAGACATGAAAAGGTTAAATAATAGTGGTGGCTCTTCAGAAAAATCCCCAGTGGGCCTGGATGATAACAGATAGTGATCACTGTTTCTGAAAGGGTATGACAATCTGGTTACAGTGCAGTGCCCCGTAGGATACTGAACCAAGGGGGAAAATTTTTTCTACAAATTCTCTTCTTAGGAAATTTACCTTTTGAACTACTATTTCAAGAAAAGCAAGCTTATACAGAACAACAGACTTACATACACACATAGTGCTGGTAAAATTCATTTTACAAGTTGTAATGATATACACTGATTGAATGTATGTATGCAAAAAAGTGATTATACAGCCAGTAAAGCCTATGGGCTATCTAGTCCTTTAATGGATCTCTTAAATATTTGAATTTATGGACCCCTGAAATGATTTTAGGATTTGCTGGTTTTCTTAGACAAAAAACAAAAACAAAAACAAAAAATAAAAACAACAACCCAAAAAACAGAAACAATAATTGCTTCTTTAACAACATATTTTTTAGGTGACTGAAGAAATGTCATAAAAAATTTATTATAGACATGGGACCAGCAGCTGGTGTAATGGCTATGTTGCTGGACTCCCAACTGCGGTTTGCGTCCTGGACCCGGTGGCTCAAACTCACACCAGGCGCATGTGCATGCATGCTCAAGATCTCGAGAGGAGAATGGAGGAGAAGGGATCTGTGGTGTGGCCATCCCCCCGGGGGGTGATTTCTCGCTTTCTGTCTCTGTTTCTTTCTGTCTTTCTGGCAAGTGGATGCGCCCTATTAGCAAAACCTCTCCCCCCCCAAAAAAAAAATTATTACAGACTTCAAAATCCCAGTGTTTAAATATTAAACAATTATCCAATAGAAAAATTTAAAAAAATGCATAGAAAGACTGTTCAAAGCCTTAACCAAAATTAAAATGTAAATAACTAAAAGCACTTTTAGTAACAAGTAAAAAACAAATAGTGACTATTCAAACACTATTTATGTGTAGGACATTGGGGAGGAATATAAAATAAAGTCCTTGCCTTGAAAGACTTTACAAGTCTGTACAGAGGCCAGACATGCATATAATATAAATGAGTGACTGATGAAAAAGGGTTATTAGAATTTAAAATAACAGAGGCACAAAGTAGGGAGGGAGACAGAGCTACTTTTCATGCAGTGGGATTGCACAGGTATAAAGAAAAAGGAAAGAAGGCAAACAAGTTTTTATAGAAAAGATGACCCAGCTGTGGAGAGCTGAGATGAGCAGACTTCATCCTGAATAATGGACAAGAGGGGTGAGGCAGTAGAGTAGCCTCAGCAAAGACACAGAGGCATGGTCACACATGCCAAGAACAGAAAACAGTTGGGGAAGGCTGAAGCAAAGGATACAAGGCAAGGCTTGGGTAACAATGAAATGAAAAAGTAAAGAGCAGCCAGATAATAGAAGATCAGAATTATTTTAAAAAGTTGTATCTTTAGGGCTGGCACCATAACCCACCCAGTTAAGGGAGCTAGATCCCAAATTGCCAACCATGGTTTGAATCTCAACCCCATAGTTTGAAAAGCATGCTGTGCATGTGTGCCCCAAATCCTAACAGGATGAAGAAATGGAGAAGAAATTATGGCATGACCATGCCCCATTAGGGAGTGCTTTCTCTCTCTCCCTCTGGCAAGTACCTGCCCTCTGGCATTAAAAAAAAAAAAAAAAAAAAAAAAAAAGAAAAAGAAAAAAGATGGGCCAGCCAAGTGGCATGGTGGTTAAGGTAGCTGGATCCTATATGGCCAACTGCATGGTTCAAGTCCTAGACCCAGTGGCTTAAAAAACATGCCAGGCACATGTATATGTGTGCCTAAAATTGTGTGAGGCAAATGGAGGAGAAGGGACTGAGGTGTGGTCATCCTCCCTGGGGAGGGTGTTTTCTCACTCTCTCTCTCGCTCTCAGGTGAGCACACATGTCCTAAAGGAAACTTTAAAAATTAAATAAAATAAAAAAAATTGAGTCTTTATTCTAGACTAGTTATTAAAATATTTTAAATAAGCAGTAACATAATCAGGCTTTCTACAAAAGAACACTCTGTGACTCTGAGGAGATAGATTGTTCTACTGCAAAGAGACCAAGAACTGACCGCTGTAGTCCAGAAGATATATGTCCCTTCTAGTAGGAGGTAAATGGGGACCTGAATCTAGGGGCAGCAATGGGAAGAGGATAAAGGATATGACTGTGAAACAGTTGTGTTATGGTCATGGAAACAAGAGATCATGATCTAGGGTTTAAGAGGGGAAATTGTTGATGGTTTCCAGGTTTCTGAATTGGGTAACCAGATTTTTTTTTTAAAGAGAGATTTTTGGGACCAGCAGATGGTATAATGGTTACATCACTGGACTCCCACCTAGTCAATCGTGGTTTGAGTCCCAGATCTGGTGGCTTAAAAAACTCACGATGGGTGCATGTGCATGCGTGCCCAAAATCCCGAGACGGGAGTGGAGGAGAAGGGATTGTGGTGTGGCAAACCTGAAATTCATATACCCAATAATGTGTACTACTTTCAGTGTGCATTTTTCTAGGAAAAAGATCTTTAAGCTTTCAAAATGTTTCAGAGGAGACCAAAACCCAATGAAAGTGAGAAGAGAAGTAAAACCAGAACTGCTAATACTTAAAGTGGAAGAGAAGGAACGTCCACAAAGATTAAGGAGGAAGTCAGAACAGTAGAATTAGGAGAGGGGAATGATGTCAAAGAAAGGTAGTTTCAATTACAGTGGGTAACTGAAGCAGAAAGGGCAGATACAGGGAAAAGTGGAATTTTAGAATGGAAATATAGGTTGGAGCTAGATTGTAATTTCCATGTTATTCAAGGAGTGTCACTGGGTATAGACATGGTATGTAAACGAAATCTCAGCATGACAGCTTACAGTTAAGCCAATTAGGAAGGATAAAATAAGTACATATATCAGTAGCAAAAATGGCAGCGTGACTTCAAATTCACCACTGTGGAAATCTAGTCCATTTTTCTTTTCATTCACTTCTTCCTTTAGGATGTTTGCACATCCGCAGGTAAAAAGAGTGGGGAGTGAGAAGCTGGGATGTGATTAAAAAAACAAATTAGCTGATAAGTACATTCAAACCTCAAAAACTGTTACTAAATGTGAACACTGCAGACACCAAATAACTATCACACTTTTGGAAAATATGCCCCTTTCCACCTGCCCTGCTTTCTGTTTACAAGGTATGATGGCTTATTTGAAATCTTACTACAGTACCATTATCCTTACTGTTTCTAGGTTCAGAAAAGAAAAAGGAAACTTTGCTTTTCATGGGTACAAATGTACAGCAGTCTGCAATATTTGCAGTATTCTCTAACCTACCTTATCAGAAACAAGATGAAGTTTTGGGTGCTTCTCTGATGCAAAGAACTCAAATAACGTCTTGGTAATTATCTGGCTGACGGGGATGGGGGATTTTCGGAATCCCAAGAAGCAGAGGAAGGGTGAATTAACATGCAAACTGGCAGCAGGGGGATTGTCCCCTGAGCCCTTCACTGGTCCAGCTCCATGCAAGGAAAGGAGCATGCCAGCCTTTCCTTATGGCAGGGACTAGAAGCAGAGGCAAAAGAGCTGCGAGTAAGCAAAGAGCTAGAGGCTTCTCCCATCACCTTCCTACCCAGCCGCCTTTTCCTCAAAATCTTACTTAAAAACAATAAAGCTTTACACAAGGCGATTCCCACCGCCACTCGGTTTTCAACGACCAGAACCTTCGATGACAGTAACTGCAATGATTGAGCACCGCACACTCCTGCCCTCTCTTCTCAAACTCCACGCACACGAGAAGAGGTCTCCACCCTTCTGCCCAGAACCGCTGAAGCCCCTGGATCAAGGAAGGAAGCCCCCAGGACCGTCATGGACAAGCCCGGGAGCGGAAACCCAGGCCGAGAAATTTAAATCCCACTCCGTTTTCTCAGCCAGGAACGCGGGGCCTGCGGGAGGCGCCGCTACCCACCGTAGAGGCTCGCAACCGAATCCCGACTCCTCACTCCCTGCCTTCTCGCAGTGTCGATCCTGAAATCTCGGCTAGCACAGCGGCTACCTTAGCAGCAGCCTGACAGTTTCAAACTGGAGGCAGAAATTAAGGACAGCCCCGCGCATTGGTCCCCAGTTTCAGCAATCTGCCTTCTGATTGGTCTGAGAGAGGGGGCGGGGCTCTGGCCGCAGGAGAGAGAAGCCGGAATTAGCTTACTTAGGAGAGCCCCGCCCCCTGGCTTGTCTAGCTCGGAGCGGGCGGGGTCTAGAGAGTCCCACCCGAGGTTGTGGAGTGGGTACCGCGCACGCTCAATTCGTTCTGTGACTGCAGACTACGGCGCGGCTCTGGGACCAGACTTGAAACGCCGCTTAGCCAGGCTGCCCGCTGTAGGCTTCCAAGACTCCTGAGGCCCAGGCGTGGGTCCTCGTGCTTCAGTCCACGTGGGACTCATGCACATTCACAGGTCCCTTGCAAGAGAATCACTTGAAGGTGTTTTTAAGATGCCCTACACCCCTTTTTTTTAAAAAAAAATTACCACAGAGCGTGAGTAGCTAGCTGAGAGAGAGAGAGCGCGTGCGCCAGGAGAGAAAGGGAAACCAGCCACTAATGGGGGAATGGCCTCGGGGCAACCCCTTCTCTTCCATTTCGCCATTCTATCAGGATTTCTGGAACTCATGTCACAATTCTTTCTCCTCCATTCTCTTTTCCGGATTTTGGGCATGTACGCACATACACCTGGCGTGAGTGTTTTTAAAGCTGCTGGATCTGGGCCTTTAACCGCATTTGACTACGTGAGTCAAACAACATAACCATTACACCACCTGCTGGTCCTCTTGTGCTTTTTTCTTTCTTTCTTTTTTTTTTTGAAAGAGCAGATTCCTGAGCGCTATTAATTCCTTCAGTCTTAGGTGCATCTGGGAATCAGAATTTTTTACTTAAAACATTTTTTTTTTTTTTGACAGAGAAGGAAAGTAAGAACAACCCCCCCCACCACCACCACCAGGGATAACTAAGCCGTAGTCACTAGAGGATGGGGTTTCCTTTTCTGTAGATAAAATAGCAGAACCTGGGTCTTATTTGTTGGCAGAACAAGACTTATACTTATTTAAACAATGAAATAAGACCACCAGAAGTTTCTTTGGCATGTATTTATTAGACAAGTTCTTACTAATATATACAAACTCATACCTGGTTCTAACACCTGTTTTTTTAATTGAATTACATATGATGACCCTATATATAGTAATTGTTACTGATGTATTAACCCGTTACCTCCTGTCTCTAGGCTCCAAGTTTCTCTTCTCTTTCTTTTGGGGGAAGATTTTTGTAGAAAATTATTTGGGTAAGCCATCCCCATTCTGTGAACCTATAGAGAGAGCAAACCTGGTCTTGATGTTATTAATTTAGAACTGATTCTTTTCCTAAGGTTCTGAGAGAGAAAATTTAAAGCCCCTACAAAACCATGATAATTTAATTGCCAGTGTGAATCCATTATATGTATTTATCCATTCAGCAAATATTTATCTAATATCTACCATATGCAAAGCATTTTGCTCCCATGAGTAATTAAATGATCAATTAAACCAACACAGTCTGCCCTTATGGAACTTAGAGTCTATTGGGAAAAAATAGACATCAAACAGCAAAAATAACATTCCTCTCACAAATGAATAGTTACATACCATGTTTGAAGTGAGGAGAAATAAGAAAATGCCTCTTGGAGTGGAAAATAACCAATGGCTATTTTACCTGATGAACACATAAATAGTGCTTACTATGTTTTGGGCACCATACTTTAGTACTCTTTAGCTACTCTAATTCTTAGAATATGTTTGTAACAGGGGCCAGCAGGTGGTGTGGTGGTTAAGGTGCTAGGCTCTGCCATGGACTACCATGGTTCAAGCTCTGATTTGTCAGCTTGAAAATCATACTGGGTGCGTGTGCATGTGTGCCCCAAATCCTGAGATGAGAAAGGTGGAGTAGGGATTGCAGTGTGGCCATTCCCTCTGGGTGGTGATTTCTCACTTTCCCCTCTCTGTCTCTCTTTGGCGAGTACACATGCTCCATAGAAAAACCTTAAAAAAATAATAAAATAATATCTTTGAATCATAGGTGTTATTTCTATCCTTGCTTTACAGATACAGAAGCACAGAGAGGTTTTGTGACTTGCCCAGAATCACAGAACTAGTAAGAAGAACTACTTCAGAGTCCATGTTCTTATCACTCAGTTTGTCCTGTTGGGAACAGCATGGCCAAGGCCTTAAGGCATGTATCTGGATAATAAATAAAAGCCAATAGGATTGGAACTTGGTGAGTGAGGAGAAAGTGACACAGGATGAGGCTGCAGATGTAGTTGAGAGTATGACTTTGCAGAACATGTTAGGGGTTTGAGATTTTTTTTTTTTTTAAAGTTCTAGGGGGGATATTTAGAGCTTTCAGGCAAGGGATGAAAACAACTTGGGCTACAAGAGTGGAAATGGAGATGTAGAGAAGACAGAAATGAGATATATTTTGGAGGTATAATTCATATTTGGTACACTGTGTTTGAGATAAAGAGAAAAATGTCAAGAACTGCCTGGATTTAGGTTTCTGACTTGAGCAAATAGGTGGATAGGAACATGGTATATTGAGAAAGAGAATGCTAGAAAAGGAGCAGATTTTGAAAGGGGAACATCAAAAGTATAGGACTTGGACCCCCATGAGTCCATTTCTCAGTCTATCTTTCTCTATCAATATCTATCTATCTTTCTGTACACATTTCCCACATCCCATTGTAGGGTGGTATTTGGTGCTGGGCTCTTTCATGTTCATTTGCCATTACTTAGGGAATCCTAGCTAATGTTTTTTCCTCAGCTGACTAATATGCTTAAATTCATCAGGTCGCTATGTCTGATCCAAGGTCACTAAAATCTGCTTTAAATATGAAATTCCTAGGAGGAGAATGGAGCAGAAGGGATTGCAGTGTGGCCATCCTCCCTAAGGGATGATTTCTTACTTTCTTTCTGTCTGTTTCTTTCTGGTGAGCACAAAAACCTAATAAATAAATAAATACCTGGAGATATGCAAGTATACTATCTGTTAGACTGTTGGACATGTATGTCTAGAGCTCAGAAAAGAGTCCAGGGCCTGGATATAAAACCTGGGGTAGCTTTTGCATATACAAAGTGTGGAGAACTGCAAAAATCGATCCAATTCTTCATCTCTCCTTACCTGTAAGACCTGTGCTATGTAATTTTGTAGTGCTTTCTCAGTAATGACCACAGGATGTTACCAAACATGATATGGACAAAAGGTTTTTTAAATGCTTATGTGATTGACTTGCCTTAGTTTGCCCTCTGCTATACCCTTGAAAATATGCCCAGGCTAGCTTACTGGCAGGTGAAAAATATATGTAGTAGAGCCAAGTTTCCCTGATCATGTTAGCTGAGATCATCATGTCAGCCTATAGCCAGTTGACACCCAAAGAAGTGTGTCCCTCTAATCATGACAAGCAGGACTACCCAACCAACCTGCAGAGGCATGCACCAAGTAAATGTGATGATTTAAACACATCCTATGTTTTAGGATGGTTTGTTATGCAGACATACTGACAGGGAAGTTCTGTTCCACATGGCCATTCAGCCTAATGCTGAATGACCATGACTGAAGAAAGGAGAGAGTGTTTGGAGAAAGCATACCTGATGTCTTAAATTCCAGTTCAAGAAGAGGTACACTTCACTTCCACTCATATCCATGACCTCACTTAATTGAAAGGTAGGGTAGAAAATACAGTCTAGCTAGCTGACTAGTACAGATGCAAAAACCAAAGAACTAGCTAAGACAACTTGGAGAGACAGAGTGAAGTGAGTACAGAAGAGAATTCAGAACTGAACCCTCACATCTTCTGATGGTTAGCAATGGAAGAACCAGCAAAAGAGACTGAGAAGTAGGTTCTGGAGGCCTGGGACGAAAACACAGAGACTTCAATAAATTGCTAGTAATGTAGCTATTGTGTTTGACAATATAGAAGTCACCAAGATCTTGACTTTTCTTTTTCTTTTTTGGAGAGGTTTTTGCTATAGAACACAGGCACTCACCAGAGAGAGAGAGAGAGAGAGAGAGAGACAAAGAGATGGAAAGTAAGAAATCACCCTTCAGGAGGGATGGCCATGCCACAATCCCTTCTCCTCCATTCTCTTCTTGGGATCTTGGACATGCATGCACACGTGCCTGGCATGAGTTTAAGCCACTGGGTCTGGGATTTGAACCGCAGTTCAAATTCATGGGAGTCCAACGACATGACCATTATGCTATCTGCTGGTCCCAAGGTCTTGACTTTTCTATGCAACCCTACTTTCTGAACCTGTTCTCCTGTCTTCTTTTCATCCTCACTCTTTTTGGTTAAGCCATTATTGAATTTGTTTTATACTATTTCTTGATTGCATGACTATTTCTACAATTCACCCTTTACAGTGTTCATGAATTACCTCCTTAAAATGCCACTGAATTGTGTCATTTCTTCCTTGAAAGCTTTCCATGGCATTGCATGGCTTTCATAGCTCTTCTAAATGTTGTCCCACCAAACAGGAAAAGGTGTTCTGGAGTCCTCAAATTTACCACTCACTAGGTGTAAGACTTTGGGAAAACTGTGTAGTCTTTATAAACTTAAACTCCATCTCTTTAGCATTGAGAAAATAATAGAACACATCAAAGCTAAAAAATCTAAATCTGAATCTGATTCTGAGCCTAAGTCAATCTGTCCATTTCTCAGTCTATCTTTTTCTATCAGTATCTATCCCCTAGTAAAGTAGTTGAAGCTGGACATATGCCTGCCTACCTAGACTATATCTCCCACCCTACTTTTCAATAATCGAGGTCATGGATATGAGTGGAAGTGAAGTGTATTACTTCCTGAAATGTGTTTTAAGATATTCAGCATGCTTTGGGACCAGCAGTTAGCGTAATGGCTATGTTGCTGGACTCCCATGTAGTTGATTGCGGTTCATGTCCCAGACCCGGTGGCTTAAAACTCATGCCGGGCGCATGTGCGTGCATGCCCAAGATCAAGAGAGGAGAATAGAGTTCGAGAAGGGATTGCAGCATGGCCACCCCCCTGGGGAGTGATTTCTCACT